AATTAGCACTTTCCTCCAGGAAATAAGCGTAGTCAGAGAAATGCAAAAGATCAAGTCTTTTTTATCAGTCTTGCTTTGTAACTGCCTGCACAAATTTCTACATACGCTGACATGCAGATGGCAGTGCCGAAGAGTGCTATGGTGCTAATTTCCCTCGTGTGGCGGTACCCAGAGACATCAAGCTGTCAGCATTCAGATGACATAAGAAGTGAAGCACCAGAGATTTTGTTTGGCTTCTATTTGACCAGCTTTGTTCCCTGTTGTGGTGGGTTTTTTTTTTTTTTTTTTTTTTTCCCCCACCCCTCATTGCTGTCCGAAAACGTGAAGCGTGCTGTCTAATGAGAAATCAATAGAGTGCAGACTCTGTTAAGCTTGTGTCACGCGTGCAAGATGACAGGAGACACCACAGACAGCAAAGCAGCTAAAATCTCCCCCCGGCTAATAGCTGCTTGGAAATGCTGATGCTTTTTCAAAGCATGGCATAGTTGATATTTCCTGATGAGAAGAGGGAATTTTGGGTGGTGCCTCAACAACCTGGAGTTAATTTCACAGGAGATGTTCAAGGCAGGCATCCTGCTTTTCTCTCCTGTCCTTCCTGTGTGCCGCATAAATTGAGGAGCGCATCTCAGTGCTGCGAGTGCTGCATCTCCGCAGGTTTGGAATAACCTGTTCTCTTTGTAGCCCTTTTATGGGCACATGGCTAGAGGCTCCATCCCCTTTGTACGCCAGAGCAAGAGAAAAACCTGATAATGCAGCAGAAATCCAGAAACACTGGCACAGAGAGGAACCCTTGCTTGAAGTATGAGATGATGGAGTTTGTGTGCTGAGGAGCTGAATCTATTCGCAGACTTGCAAATGCCTGTTGGAGTAGGAAGAAGTGACCCACAGTGACAGGAGCGGGCACGGCTCGGTCCCCTGGTGTCATCTGGGGAGTGAGGAGTCTCCTCTGCAGCCTCGCACAGTTCAGGCTTTACCTCTGATCTCCGATGGAGCCATCCCACCGTCCCCGTGCCGTCCCCTTGCCCTCCCCTGGGTGCCGGTCACAGTGAAGTCTGCGCGTCGCTGGGCTGGTACAGCCTCTTGCACAATAGGCAGCCGGAGTTGTTGTGCTGTACCGGCCCGTGGACACTCCCTTAATCCAAATAACAGCACACAAAGGCTGTTTACTCGGGGTATGCAGTGTTCCTTGGGGTATGCTTTCAGAAACCACACAGACTGCAAACGTAATAAAATATGTAACAATGACCTCTCACGACGAAGTAATTGGGTGATTTATAATAAATGACCGTTTTACTTGACTGTAAAAAAGCATGCCAGCTCCTGCGTGCCAGAGAGGAGCAGAAAATACAAGATAGCTTAGTAATTCCTGTCTTTTATCATAGGACTCCCTCTCAGGTTCAAACCCTGGGACTCCGGGTCCTGTCCTAGGAGAGGTGACCCCATCTGTCATCTGGCTCGAGGTGGATGAGCTGCATTCCAGGCTGCATGAGAAGAGAGAGCCTTTCAAGTTGAACCTCCCTCAATAATCAACGTATCGGTTTGTACTGATAGAGATCACATACTGAATTTCATTACGGAACGATGCTTACCATGGTCCCTGCAGCGTGCTGTCTACTTGGCAGCTGCTTTGCATCCTGGAGTTGGCCGCAGTTCAATGGTAAAAGAATTCTTAACTGTTTGTCATTGTAAAGCGCTTTGGGATGAATGGTCTTACATAAATGTAAGATTATGATTAGGCATTGATCTGTACTGGAATAAGGAAGAATATTTAAATGTGCTTTTTCTACTAAGCCTTATTTAATATGAAGGGGAATCAATTTATCGCTGTCTTGCTATGACTTTCTCCCACCCCTCCAGCTAGTATTGTGCATTGCAGGAAAGGAAACAGTTGACCATCGATAGTGGTGTGATTACACAGGTGCCTGTGACTTAAAAATCAAATCGAAGTTATTTACCCTCAGCGGCTTTTGGAATTCTACTTTCCAATGTTTTCATCCAAACAAGCCTGTGACCCTGGACCTACCAGTCTGCGTTACACAATACCGTACAGCTGCAGAGCTGCTGGGAAGGGCCCGGTACGTGGTGTGAGCGCCGAGCGCCCCGTGGCAGGGGGGACGCGGGCGCCGAGGATGGCTCCGGGCTCTGCCGTCAGCGCCAGCGGACTCTGGAAGTCTGGCGGGAGCGCTGACTTTGAGTCTAAACATTTGAGACCCTTTGCCTGGTGTTCAGTGCCTTCTGAATAAAACCAGATCTGATTAGAGACACTAAAAGTTCTCTAATTACTTGCCTTGTGTACCTTAATGAGCAGAAGAGAAAGGCCTTAGGACTCGGTTCTTGTTTCTCAGCTTTGCGCTCTGCCTTTGGCTTCATCGGCTGCACAGCAAAGATCACGTATGGTTTCACGGTAAAATCCTCCCCGAAGGTGACGCCAGCTGCCCCGCTTTCCTCTGTCAGACCGACCATAGACCTACTGGGGAAGTTGAATCCTGCTGGTAGATTCAGTCTGGAAGTTATTGGTCTTAATGCTCAGCATTATTATAGCAAATGCCTTGCAACCATCACCTTCCACGTGATTCGCGACAGAACCCAGGGTTGTGCTATAACATACCTATCTTGTATGCGGAAGAGTACAGAGAAAACAAAAAAAAAAAAAAGACCTAGAGACGTGAGTCGTTTTATTTCAAATGAAGCTTTGGGTGGGGTGAAGTAGTTGGGAGTGTTTCTAGAAATATTGATCTGGTTTTGTGCCAGCTGTTGAGTGTTAGATATATCTATCGACCTGG